ATCCAAGTAATGTTTCGGGCAATTGCCCTTCTTCATAACGAAGAGATTTTCTCTTTGATGTTGCCACTGACATGTTTTACTTGATTGACAAATGTGTTGAGGTCTGTGTTACGCGTGCTCACGTACCACGGCCAAAGTTAATTGTCACAAAAAAATGTAGTTCGCAACAGACCAGAGACATCATGGTCTTTTGGCAGTCGCTCATGGTGCGAGAATATCAGAGGTGAGAGATTCCCAACTCGTATCATGATGTCAGAAAAGCTGACAGCAACTCACACCGTCATCTCAACACAGAAACGTACTCTCAATACCAAAAAAAACATGTCTTACTGAACTGAGGTTATTCGACAATGACGTTCAGCTTTGGAGGCACTCCAATGTAAACAAATGGTACACAAAATACCAGCAGCTATAGACCGATGAACCTATATGGTCATGTAAGGGGAGTGGTAAGGGAAACGGATCTATAATTTTGACTTAAAACTTTCGTATAAAAGATTACGGATTGCGATAGGATAAAAATACAGCTCCATCTCAAGATGCTGTAGAAAACCGTGGGAATATTTAATATCGAGAAGCAGCCATAGGCAAAGTAAATAAACAAGGTGAAGGGGTTTTAAGCCATGTCAGTGAAAATCTTCCACAGTGTTCACGTCTAATGCAAGCGTCTGGCTGTCAAGTCAGCAAATGTGTTTGGGCCTCCCTTAGGCCGACTTAGCCTTTAATGAGTGCAGTACAAAGTGCAGTCTGTGAACATCTGAACTCTAGAGACTGAGGTGGTCAGCCACGGTTGGTGCTGGCCACACCAAACTTAAAAGCGACTTATCTAACATCACCTGTGCCTCCACATTTGCACATGCACACGTACTGTGCATACTTTAATATACACGCACATTCAGTCTAAACAAAAAATATAGAACTATTTTTTATTCTAACCGGGTATGGCCGACCGAGCTATGTAGCTCTTAAATTTAGATTTAAAGCTTTCGTGACTGCAGGGATTCATCTTCTTGGTTCTTTCGGTAAAGTCACGTAGAATGGAAATATTAAAATAATAAAAATAAAACATAATAAAATAATTCTCACGACGTTTCGGCCACAATGCAAGCATCCGTCCTCAGGTGAAGAATAGGTCTGTCGAGAAGACAGAGTCTGAATGGGCCTCCCTTCTCGACAGACCTATTCTTCACCTGAGGACGGCTGCTTGCGTTGTGGCCGAAACGTCGTGAGAATTATTTTATTATGTTTTATTTTTATTATTTTATTATTTCCATTCTATATGTAGCTCTTTTTTAGAAGCGACCTGGCCACAAATGTTAGCTCAACGAAGTGGCTTATCATGTGGCAATGTATTGCAGCCAAATACTCCAAATGCGTAAATGTGGAGCGAAAAAGCAGGGGACCCGGAGAAAAATCCACGCGATCACAGGGAGAACATGCAAACTCCAAATATATAGGCGTCAGGGTCGGGCTCGAATCCATGACATCGTGTACACCAGGCGAGGTAGTTAATATCTCGTCACTGCGGCACCAGTCGTTCTTGCATACAGTACAGTAATCTAATGAACATACATTCACACATATACCCTTGCACATACAAACGTATACATTCCCACACACATGCAAATGGAGAAAAAACACAAACATTTACCTTTTAATCTTAGAGACTGTTAGCGAGCGCCTATTGAGGCTTGAAACACGCATGAGGGGGTGATGTGACCAGCACCTTAACCAATTGCATTGTCTCTCTCTAAAACACTGCACGAGGATTCATTCAAGCTGAGTTTATGTAGCAGAGGCCCAGGGCAATCCACGTTATCTGCGTCTGGGAGTCAAACTCAAGTGACCGGTGTTGTAGCAAAGTGCGAGAACCACTGTGCCATCGCACTTGTGCTGATAACAGCACAATCTCTGCGTTTGTTCCATCCTCACCAATGCTCACCCCTCCCTCACTCGGTCACTTACAACCAAACGTGACACCACTCAGGGCTGCTGTCACAAAACAACTACAAAGGGAAGGAGTGACAGCCTTGGATAAAGTAGCACCAGTCAGCAGAAAGTAATCCGGGTAATGTGTCCTATCAGTTATTACATTTATCAACCTAAGGTTTCAGCTTTCCACAGAATGTCAAGACACTAATGGCTTAGTGTTTGAACCCTATGGCAACGGCGGAAACGCATTAAGAAATCGGTGTAGATGTGACAAACATATTCAGGCTGGGTATATAGCTGAGGTCATTCCGCATACCACGGTGGTTTTTGCAAAAGGTACATTATTACTATGTTTTAAGTTTAAACACTCCACTCATATACAACCAATGAGGTGCATTTAGGGGACAGGACTGAAAGTCTTCATACTGTGTTTTTGGTATGTACCACGTGTTGTTCTGTGTGATTTCTGACGTTTGTTTAGGAACAGAACTCAGTTCCTGTAGAAGCTCCCAGCACGTGGAGCGAAACGTCAGACATCATGCCGAACAACACGCAGTACAACCCGGAAATGCATAACAGAACTACACAGCACAACCGCCAAAACTTACGCAGTCGTAATGCAAAAATATTTCAGAATTTTCTCAACAATTAAACACCAATGACATCCTGGGCCTGAGTTTGATATTAGAAACAACTTCAATTAAACTGAGTTATCAAGTGTGGCACGTTTCTCATCAGTCATCACTAATGATTGTACGAAATGCATTATATCAAAATTGGTATATCACCTACTGTGGTAAAATTTAAATCCGCTTGACAATTACCCGATTGCAGAGTGCATGGCAAAGCACAGCATCGCTAATGTGGATAACAGATCACTTGCAGGCACCTCAGCAGGAGTTCTCTAATGAGGATCACGCACTGCTGGATGGACACTTCATCTCTCGACAAGATGACGATAGCACAATTAGAATAACATTGAAAATAAAATATTCCAATAGTCTATTAAAGTAAAGTCACGTAGGTATACAATAAAATTAAATCACGACGTTTCGGGCGCACACACAAGCGTCCACCTAATGACGAACCCAAGAAATACGTATACCACTGTTCCAGTCTTTAACCACGTGTTCCTTGGGTAAATTATTTCTTTGCATTTCTTCCTGTAAATGGTGCATTCATATTTTATGCGTACGTATATGGCAGAGGAGATATCTGCATTTTTAGTCTGCTGCCAAAACATATCATTGTTATAAGCCATGAGCTAGCCACTGCTGCATGAATGCTTCTCCACGCCATCACCATCACTCATGGTTCTGACCCACAAGCCGCTACTGTGTATATCTTTCAATAAAATACATATTTTGGGATGTTAGGATGGAGTGATGGTGCACTGAATCCGTAAAACTGAGTTTGATTCCCAGGCATACCTAACTTCACTGGAGAGGGATATCTGGACAATGCTTGGGTCCACTTCCTTGACCAATCCATATTGACCATCGTGGTGAAGTATGGTCAAACAACCCCTTTGACTAACATGGCATGGGAAGGCCTTCATCCTGCAGTGGATTAACATGGACCTCTTTTTTTCGTTAATATTGGAAGTTCTAGTAATTACAATTTGAATGCGTGCTCATTATTTGAGTATGATACAGATACGCTCATGGTATTCAATGTTCTGGCAACAGGTTAACTTTAATATCGAACGAGACAGCATTTGTTTTATGAGCATGATTCTGCTGAGATCCACAATGTGAAAACCAGTCCATTTTGCTCGCTTACAAAATGCTGCTGTATAATGGTCTGAAAATGGATTAAAATATCTCTATTCGTCATATATGAAGACACAGGAGGGAGTTCTGCTTGTCGAGTACGTATATGTTCGTCTGCTGTTTAAGCTATTTAAACACATCTCACATATTGTGCATGGAGCTCCTTTGCCACCTGCTGGACAATCTGCGAAACGCGTAAAGACAACTGCCACTTAAACAATAATATAATCTATCATGGGTCTGATATTCATCCCATCATAACCTGGTCTGATATCACCCGTCACTCGTGTTTAGAGCCGTGAGTCCATTTCGGGTCACCAGATTCATAGCGCAGCGTGCTTAACCGCTATACCACTGCTCCACACCAATCACGTGCTATGAATAAGGTTCATTAGCCTACGTCACCGATTCTATATTTCTCCTTATAAAGTAGTGTTTTAATTTGAACCTTTGCGCCGCTGACAATTTTTAATTCAGAAAACGCGTGCCGTAGGCTGTCGCTAGTATCGTGCAATGCATTTATGTACCGTGCGTTGGTTTCCGCATGTCCTGATTTGACCCCTCAGTCGAGAGCTTGATCTGTGGTCTGGTGGCAGGAATTTATGTTAGCGGTGCAGTCGTGTGATGCAATGTATTACAGTACAGTACAGTTTTAATAAACCTACACTGACCGAGAAATGTCCTGGTTTGGTCATTGAAAAATATGGCAAACCCTCTGCTGGCTGCCTTCAACCCACACCGGCCAGCCTTGGTGAAGTATAGTCAAATAACCCCCAAGATCAACACGGCATGGCGAGGCCCTCATCCGTCAGTAGATTGACACACGTGATGTACTCTTCATGTACTGTATATGATACACCCTATTGCAGAGGTGTACCGTGTACTATGTATGAATAATCATCATTCTTTCGCAACCAATCGGCCCCCAAACATCGTTTTGCGAACGCGTCTTTTCAAACAGCGCTCATTTCGTGCGAATCAAACTCTGGGGCTCGTCTCGTCGACAGAGTCAGCCTTGCGTGAAGTAACTCCGGTGCCGAGTTGGCCACTTGTTTTTGTTTGGTTGACAGGCAACTTGGAAACTGTACAACAAGTAAATAATGAAAGCACGTGCTCGCAACCGCACCCCCTTTTACCATCGACTGCACGTGTTCTCGGCAGTGACGTCACAGGGGGTACGACGCTGCAGAGGCAATCCCTGCAAACTGCGTTTTGCTCATACAAACCCACGAAACACTCCCACACTCTGACACCAGAAGGGCTAGTGACAAGTGGGAGCTAGAGCCTCGAGAGGATAACTCGTTCTATACTCTTCAAGGCTGGCAACTCGGTCTATACTCTTCAACGCTGGCAAGACATCTTTCCAGGAGGCAGGAGGTAGGTTTTTTTGGTGTTTGTTTGTTTGTTTGCCCCATTGCGGTATATTCACCACTGCCACACGACATCCTCAGGTCCCGGATAGCTTTGCGGGTGTAGCCATTTGAACTGCTGGGATGTGCGTACTGTAAGGCGTGGAGGGGTGGCTTTAGGGGCAGCATCCCAGGGGGCCTTCGACAGCTGAAGGGCCTCCAGAGATTAAGCGAAAAGTTATTTCGTTTGCGGATGCTGAATTTTTATTTGTTGTTAGCCTTGTTAAAAAATAAATTGGATTTTTCTTTAACTTTGTTTTATTTTTGGAAATATTACTGGGGGTGGGGGGGGGGCCTCACGTTACCTGTAGCCCAGGGGGGAGCTACAACATCTTAATCTGGCCCTGACTGTATTCAGAACTGCACAACCTCGTGCCTTTTACGTGTCAATCCACTGCTGGATGAGTCGCTGCGAGTTGAAGGCATGTGACATACAGTGCACGCAGAAGAATACTAATTTGAAATTTTAAAAAAATTGACATCAGTGTTAGATACAGTTCTTGCAATTGGCAGGGAACTTTTTTTAATTTTTGCAAATGTTAACAAGTTGGGTGTGGAGCACTGCGTTATTGACAACCGGTGACCCGAGTTCAATTCCCGGTCACGGCCCACTTAAGTGGCTCCAGCAAAGTGAAATCTGATCCGGTCTTTCCATCCACAAAGACAAAAGTCCACCCGTGGAGCCCCAACAGACGAATATCGGAGCAAGCGTAGCCATGTTCCACCCTTTGCACCGACACCCACTGACCTAACGAAAGTGGTTAACAAGTACACTCTGGTATCCAGAGAATATCCATAGAACAAGCGTTGGAATCGGTGACGAAGCCCCCCCATTAACATCGTAAATTGACCTTGAAAATAATCCTGAAAGCAGGGAGATTAGTGCTGGATGCAGAGGTCGCATTTGCGAATTTTATTGGGAGACTACTACATTGTGGCATCGTGGTCTGTGACTTTTTTTAATCATACTTGCCCAAGCTTGATACATCGAACTTAAATCATTAATTTATATTTACCATTTTCTCTATTTTGTACTCGTATAGGTTTTTTTTTGGTGTTGTTTGCTGTTCTAACTTTGCTGACCCCATGCCCATACTGGGACATCTGTGTGGTGGGAGGGGGGTAAAAAAAAGCTTCATAGCTCATCGGATTCCCCCTGCGGTCTAAATAAAGATGTTGAAGACAAGCAGAATTTGTTCTCAACGTGCACTACTGCTGTTGCGAATGTCCAAACGAATACCAAATCTCCGATCAAAGCGACTTTCCTACTTCGAGGAAGGGGTGGGGGGGGGAAGCAAATGTTATGGGCACGGAAGTTAAAATGATTCATCATCTGTCACTGGTCCGTTCAAGTGGCGTGATTACGACGGTGGGCGGACCTTTAAGTCGTAGTTCAAGGTGCACAACTTGCACGTTCCATTGACGGCGGGGCGAGCGTGGGAGCAAGGTGTCCGTGACGAAGAGTGAAGAGCTTCGTTGCTCTTCGGATTACTCCGGTTTGAAAATTCACGTCAATTTTTGCCCGCCTCCTTCGGGTAAGTAGAACTCTTCAAAGTTGTAAAAACGTAATGTTATTAATCTGCTTGCAATTGCCTACCGTGGACATTACATAGAGTCATTGTCTCTACACGTTTGGTAACATCATTGGGGAGCGGTGGTGTTGTGGTTAGCGCGCTGCGCTGCGAACCTGGCGATCCCCGGGTTCGACTCCCCGCTCAGAACTGGTCCTAGGCATCCTCTAGGTCGACTCAGCCTCAAATGAGTACTCGGTGCGATGTGTAAACATTTCCACTGGGGAGACAAAGGTGGTCGGGCGTGGTGTGCCGTGCCGGCCTTTATAGGTGCTACTCGCTAACAGCACTTGCCCCAACATTCTAATAAAGCCACAAACACCGGCGACGATTATCTGAACCGGTCCCGGTGTGTAAAACATCGCCACCCCTTGGGGAGTCAAAGTCTCTTCATCTCCCCCCCCCCCCACCAATCGCTTTGTAACAACGTTGGCCTTGTTAGCAGCAAGAGGGTGGTGGGGATTGTAGCATTAATACAACACGCTGGAGGTGGCAATGCGACATTAACCACCGCATGTTTAAACGCAGAATGCGTAACGATTCGGTGATGTGCGTTTGTCGATTTGAGCGTGAAAGGCCGTGGCCCACCATCGATCAGATTATGCGCCAACATTAATTGATTATAAACAAAATGATAAGCTGGTAAACTTCGTAAGTGGCGTTTCGGGAAATGTATGAAATGCCATTGGGGGGTGTTGTGATCAAATGGAGAAGACCCTTCTTTCTTTGTCCTTGCTGACCATCCACTGATGTAGCAAGGGCCTCCTCGAGGAGGAGAGGAGGAAGCCTGAAATGTCACTTGTTCTGAGAGGTTTGCGGTGCCCACACTTCTAAAGCGCGTTAACTGCGCTTTAGAATAATTGGGTTTGACCCTTTCTGGCAAATAAACAACAGGTGTTAATGTGTTCAAACGCCAAATAGAAACCTTTTTACGAAGAATCCTGTATGCATTTAACCACGCGTACTTGTGAACAAGCAAACATCTTAACATCTGTATGAATTCTTGCCCGTATCAAAATATTACAATAGGTTTTACCCTTTCTGGCAATAATACAGGTGCTAAGATGCAAAAAAAAACATGCTCCATTAATGATAAGCTTTCGTGACTGCAGGAATTCATACTAATTTAATTTTTCTATCTACGTGATTATACCGTAAGACCCAAAGAGTATGAATTACTGCAGTCACTAAAGCTTTAAATCATTATTAGAGCAAGTATGCTCAAATAATAATCTATTCATTGTCTTTGAAACACACCAGAGACAGCTTTCTTTAGGGCCTCGTCTCAAAGTGTTAGGGACCAGAGAACGCCAAAAGACGACCAGCACACAGACAATGCCACTATCAGGACATGTCTAGCTCTAGGTGAGCAGCTACAATGTAACCTTTCTTGCCAGTATCAAAATATAACAATAGGTTTTACCCTTTCTGATAAAACATTGCATGTTCACCACAAGTACGTGTGTTAATGGAGACAAGGATACCTTGCAAAAGGTTTCTGTTTGCTGTTTGAGCATCTTAGCACCTCCAGTTTTAGTTTTGCCAAGAAAGGGTAAAACCTATTGTTAGACTTTGATACTGCCAAGAAAGGTCCCATGTTGTTCGCTGCGTGGACAGAGGGAATCGGGGGGGGGGGGGGTTATTAAATGTTTCTATACAATCAAGCTTGCCGCATTGTTTCAGCTGCCACGCCGGGGAATCGAATCCAACCGGTGATCCTATGGGTCAGCAAGAGGAATATTGCAGTTGCATAGTTTTTGTTATTGGGCCAAGGGACATTTCTAAAGTTCACAAAGGTCGTGGAATGGGTGCGTTTATATGAGACAATGAAGAGACGTATTTGGCAAATTTGCCGTGTTAAATCAGATATCCATACCGATTGTATGACAGTACAACGTACATGTTTTACAGTACAGTATTACAGGACGCCGGTAAATATGGCACAAGTGAAAACTAGGAGAAAAAATGGCACAATAAGAATCAGAGGGTTAGGCTTAATCAGCTTATTCCATTCAGATCTGTATGTAATTGTTAGCACAGTACTTCGATTACCACATTAGCTATAACTGTTAGTACAGGACTTTTAACTGTTAATACAGTGCCGTTTCCGTGTGCCATGTGTTTACCCTCGTTATAACTTGTGTCATTGTTTTACTGTGCCAATTTTACCCGCGATTGATAGTAAAACCTTGCTCTTGACGGCCCTTATCGTGGCCACCACCCAGACCATATCGATTGATATCAATTCGTCGTAACCTTTAGGCCCTCCACCACTCTGCCCCTCCTGTGAAGGTTTCTTGGCTTGGTTTGGCAAGCTGGGATGTTGTAGACTTAATTGACTAATTTCTTTGTTGTGATAACTTGTTTGTGGCTTTTGTTTTGGTGCCATTTATTCATTTGTTACTTATTTTGATTGAAAGTAGGGCTTTTCATTCGCATGGTAGGGGCTGTCTATGGGATTTGGTCCTCATATATAATCAAATGTATTGCGTTGTGGGATGCTATTAACATGAATGGCGCTATATAAAATGAAAGCATTATTATTATTGATGGAACAATTGACGACGTACTGCTTTGAAATGCCAGTTGAGGTTGACGGGCTACTCGACATGTTTGGAATGCCACTTCATGGACAACTTTCATAAAGAACGTATTTGTTCCCGTACATCGAGGGATGTCTGTAGTGTACCCCGCAATCCAACAGGTCACCCAATATAGTGGCTAAGCAACCTGAAATCGACCATCTGATCTTTTTATCGGTCATCCCAAAAAACAAAGTGAATTAATATGCTGTACAGTAAGTATATAATCAGACTCTTTAGTTATACTGGAGGAATCCGATGAGCTATGAAGCTCTTTTTTCACAGATGTCTCTCGCTTGGTAATTTTCTTGCTGTGGATTTCACACCTGATGATGATTGCTTGTGTTGCAGTCGAAACGTCGTGAGAATATTTATTGTTTTATATATATTATTTTATTATTTCCCTTATACGTGACTTTACTGAAAGAACCAAGAATATGGTATACAGGAGTTCGTCGGTTCGATCCCGAGCCTGACACCTGCTATGTATTTGGAGTCTGCATGTTCTTTCTCTCCGTGGTCGCGTGGGTTTTTCTCCGGGTCCTCCAGGTTTTCCCTACACATTTGGAATCAAAATGCTTGTAGAGTATTTGGTTGCTGAGATACATTTTCACATTGATAAGCCACTTTGTTGAGCTATCATTTGTGGCCAGGATGCTTCTGAAAAATAGCTATATATTAGGTTTTTTCGGTAAAGTCACGTAGGTAAAAACATTAAAAAGGCAACACAAGCTTTCGTCTTCAGGTGAAACCATCACAGCAATGATACAGCAATTTTGCTGTGAAGAGTATAATAGCTATATAGCTCAGTGGGCCTTAACTGGTAAAATGTACCTGATGTACCTGATGATTGCTTGTGTTGCAATCGAAAGGTCGTATGCTATTATTTAAATTCTTATTTTCTCTTTCTACGTGACTTTACCGAAAGAACCAAAGAGTAAAATGTAAGATATTTTAGTTTTTAGTTGTTGCTATTGTTGATGTTATTGCTGCTGTTGCCGATGTTTCTGCTATTTCTGTTGTTGCTGTTGTCGCTGCTGTGGCTGTGCCACAAGGCAAGTCCAGGCTGCGTGTTGCAGAAACGCAAGAAGGCCGCACAAAAAACAGCCGTTTTAGCTAAATCTATTAAAATAAAATAAAAATAATTGGTTAAAAAACAAGTTTTTCAATGCATACTATTGTATTTGCACTCAAAAGTAGAAAATACATTATTTTGACCTCAGAATTAATTAAATTTACGTACTGAATAAAAGTGGGTGGTTTCCTTTCGACATGTTTAATTTTCTTAATGAAAGCCACCCACATTTATTCAGCACATCAAATTGTATTAATCCTGGGGTCAGAATTATTTACTTTCTACGTTTGAGTGGAAATAAAAGTGTGTGCATTGAAAAACTTTTTTAAACAAATAAAAAAAATTGTAAAAATTATTTGTCTATGTACATGTTCATTCTAAGATCTCAATCCAGACAATAATAATAGTTCAATATTGTCGGAATAATTCTAATATATTTGAAATAGTGTAATACAAATTAAATAAAAAACACGAAGAGGCCCAGGATCAGTGTGTCCTGGACTGGTTCTTAAAATTAAATCTTGAATTGTCACGCATATATCCGAAGATATTAAGCATGAAAGATTTGAAAGAATATAAACAGACAACAGGACAAGTTTAATAATAGTGTGGAATACCAGTACTTTTTTACGATTATGAATGAAAAAAAAAACATGTATAAAAGCGTTTACATCTTTAATAAACACTAATGAAAGATACAAACACATAGGAGCAGCAACAATAAGTGCATGCCTGTTGAACCTGTTTTAAGTACTCCCAGTATTATATAAAAAGTTTAATCTTAATTCAAAAATAATAGTGGCGCTTATAATAGCAGTGGTCCTTATATAATAACCATATGAGATGTGAAATTGAATGAAAATGTAAATATATGTTCACGGTTTATAATACCCAAAGTGGGTCAATAATTATTTGAAGCAAGTTAAAATGGCCCACATTTATAATAGTATCGCCTTTAAGTTCTAAATCGTTTACACCAACTTAGTACATGGCATTGGTCAGTGTTGAATGTCCAAAGTGTATTTCCCAATGTAAAACCCATTGAGCTATAGAGAGCCCTTTTTAAAGATGACTTTGCACATAATGAATATTTACCACAGGAAAAAAGACCAACAACATGGTATATAACCTACATCTATCGTGTATTTAGACTTTAATTGAGAGCAGGTTAGCTATGTTTATCTCACAGTGTTTGCAGTTATTTCCAAGACTTCCTGTTAGCAGACGACTGCATATACATTGAAGACATTCATAAAATGGTTGACGCCTCCATTTTATCGTGGCTTGACCAGACACATAAACATTAACATTATTTATAGCAGCAGTACTGCTTACTTTATTTCACTGCACACAATATAATCCTATTTTTGTGTCTATTTTACCTCAACATTTTAATTTGTAACTTCGCCGTTACGTTTTAGAAGTGGTTTTCTAGCACACGTTCAGGGTTCTGACGTGGTAACATGGTTTATCATTTATTTGCACACTGGGCTTACCATCCAGAAGGGTTGCCAGTTCAGTTAGATCTCCCGGTATGGCAGTTGCCACAAAGTGGGCAATCTTCCTAAATCCACCCACAAGTATACATGGGATCAACACAGTTAGTCAGCAGGTCACGTGCGGTGGATAAAGTGTGCTTACACCCACCTAATACATCAAGGTAGTGAAGGTAACCGAACACGTAGGCTTTCGCGAGAAATACTATTCACACTAAAGTTATTTTTTTTTCGCATGTGATGGAGTGACTTGTGGATACTCCCAACTCTTCCAAAGATGTCTGACCAGCATGGAAGAGTAGGCAAAACGTTCCCTGTAGGGTTTGCACTCTCTAGAGCTCCCTCGAGTTGAGGCTCTTCGGCCAGCAGTGGCATAAACAAGAAATTGCAGGGTTGCACCTATACCCTTTCACTGAGAATGACCAGGGTAAATTTACCACGCGTTATCTCGGGTTTCCCTGCTGTGTGATTTTTCGCGCGTGACAGTGCGTTCTGAATTCATTCCTAAAGTTAAGCTGAAAACGATTACCAGATTTTGACTTTTGGAACCAGTAATCAGTTTTGAAAAAGATTGCAAGTTTTTCAGGTTATTGTTTGAAAACCTAAGATTTACACACACCGATTGACTCACAATAGGAAAGGTTTAAGTTGAAATGCCAGTTGAGGTTGACAAAACATCACCTCTCGAGGGTCAATAAAATGACTACCACTTTGTGGGAAGTCAACAAGGACAGTCCTGTAGAGTAGCTGGCCCCCCACCATTAGAATGTGGAATTTCCATCACTGGCTCAAGTCAATCAGCTGAGCCGAATGCCATTAAATAATCATATTGGCAGGGAGACAATCTTACCCTTTGACTTGCTAGCATTATTACATAGAAACCTCTTATAATGTTACATTTTGGGAATATTTTTTAACAGATCAATATCCAATGAAAAAGCGTTCGCAAATTAATGATGTGTTTTTTGTTACTTTGCAGCATGGCGATTGGGTTTTTTCTTCACCAAGAGGAGACGTCTAACATATCAAAGAGATGCAAGTGGCGGGGAGAGAACAGGTAATGGACTCTCTGAAGCTTCCTCTGTCTCCTCTTTCATTTTAAAGTGTCCCAATTAGAGAATTAGAGTTGCAGCAATTGGACAAAACGACCACGTCTTTCGGTTGTAAGGTATGAGGGCACATGTCAACCTTTGGTTAAAATGGAATGTGCGACTGCAGTCCAACGGATGGATGAGTGAATGTGGTTGGAGATGCTACATTTTACATTGGCAATGTCTCTTTTGTTTTTTGATCACAGGCCGAGTTACTCGAATTTTAAGCGAGTATAATTGGCTCAAACAAAGTAAGCGTGTTTACTGGATGCTTGATTGTTCTAAAGCTAGGAAAGCTGCCCCATATTGGGCCTCCTGTGGATCGTGACAGTAATTTATTGCTGTTTAAGCCAAAAATACTTCCCACTAGTTTCAGATAAAAAGACACGGGGTCCATTTCACTACTGTACAAATCAGCCTATGTGCCTTAAAAAAAATTCAGCATTTATGTTTGGCAAACACTATACTGGTTTACAATTCTGATACGTATTTGTTTTAACGTTTGGCCCCATGGTAGTTATATTCCCAAATTCTCTTAATCAGCCCTGGACCACCCAACAAGATTGTCCTGTTTACAAAGATTATTTTACATGTGCCGATGTATCGATCAAATTGTGACCAAGAAAGCTACCGGTGGCTTAAGACTGTTGTATGATTTCAATGCCAATTGGGATCTGTTTAGCAAATGCTGTTGGGTTGACTGACATTTTATTCAATGTACTCCACGAACACCAAACACTGGATTGGTCCAACCAAATGCCACTGGTAAACATTGGTCTTGAAAGCCCCTGGACGATTTACTTGGGTGTATCTTTTTTACGTGCTAAAATAGTCTGCTTAGCTATTATTTATGATTACACTAACTTTACTACCCGGCTTCGCCCGAGACTTGGATTCTTGTCTTGGATTAATACACGGCCTATGCGGAGAGTGGGAGGGGGGGGGGATGCGTGACGTCAGCAGGCACACTGCGTGACGCTGCCGCATGCAGGGTGACATCACAGATGTGACGTCACCGCTCACTTGCCGTGCAAAATATTACATGCAGTATTGCGCCCCCCCCCCCCCCAAAATACTAAAGTCTATTTTTATACTTTTTGCATTGTGTACAGTCTGGAAGCTACCCACATGCCAAATTTCAAGTTGCATGTCGGGAAGTATGCTAAACATTTCGAACAAACACACATATTCACAAATTTCCCTTTTATAGATAAAGATATAGTATGTGCACGATACCCCCAGGCCTTTCTCCAGCCATGCTGTGCAGGTAGTGGGAGTTATTTGACCATATTTCACCACGATGGTCAGTATGGGTTGGTAAACTTGGGAGTATGGCAGTACACAGCAGCAATATGTTTTACCACACGTCACTCTGCTACCCACCTTGACCCAGTCACCTGGCATGCGGTGTTGAGCCTGGATAGTGATAGCATGGGCAGCAATCATCTAGAACAGGTGATAGAGACATTGCAGTGAAGTATTTGTTTTTTTTTAATACATGTACAAAATGAACCTTAATATAATCTTAACATTAAATTAAAAGTTCCACGTGAAAGTTCGTGAACAATAGAATATATATTTTGATTTGAAGCTTTCGTGACTGCAGGAATCCATATTCTTTGGTTCTTTCGGTAAAGTCATGTAGGTAGAAATAAAATAAATCACGACGTTTTGGGCGCAACACAAGCGTCCATCATTAGGTGATTTATTTTATACCTACGTGACTTTACCGAAAGAATCAAAGAGTATAGAATATATATATTTTTCATGTTAACATTTGTGAAGAGTGGAATTTAGCACCGGATGATATTTCCTGTGTTGTTAATCACCCATTCACTTGTGACATTTCACCTAATTGGTAATTGATTCTCCTACTTAACAAAGTAGCTTATAAAGGCTTGATAAGCTTGTTTAAAACACACACAATGAGTCGTGTGTTACCTGTGTTTATGAAGGTTAAACTTGCAGTAAAAAGTCCACATCTTTTTTTCGAATACACAGATGCAGCGTCCTTGACGTGAACTGGATTTTGAAAATAATGAAAATCGTTGCCTTCCTGTGTCACGGGAACCATCACCACTTGTGCAAAGAAGATCAGAACTATCACAATGTTGAAAGGTTGCTTGAAGAGGTGATGGGTGAGTGATATGTTCTGGAAACACCAATAGAACATAAATGATCCTTTCAAATGTATTGATGTTTCATCAAAATAATTATGAGAAATATGGTGCTGCTCAGGGGTCACAGCAGTGAGGTGGCACAGCTGAGATCCTGTGATTGAGTCCAGGATCTCGCCTGTGATTGAACAAAGGTCTCAATTGTAGTAAGTTTATTGCCTCGATCTAGTCGTTAATGACTGTGCACAAACAATTATGACGTAACATTTGGTTTTTCACATATTTTTTCGCAAAATTTCAGCAGTGAGAATTAAAAAAAGTGTTGGTTTGACAGAGCGTTTGACAAAATGCACCACCGAGTGTATATAGAAATACAACTCGATGGTCATGGGTGGTTCTGTGAAATGTCCCAATGCAGGCTGTTCTCTGGATGGATGCTTCGCTCCATGACTTGACACCGATAGTACAATTAGAATAAAATTACCACGAAGCACAAGAACCCTTTGAAAGAACAGCATGTACCTTGTCCTCCAGGCAGTACAATTTAATACAGGACTCATCATTAGTTTATTTTGGATTAGATTGTGCAAGTATGACAGTGTTTACACTGTAACCCTCCACCACTCGAGAGAGGCAATCAAACTTCAAAATTTTGCTACATTCCGGTTTTCTAATAATAGAAACTAAACTGGAGCATTTCCCACGTGACAACTTGATTTGATTGGCTGAATTTAATGGAATTGTTTGGAAATTGTGTGAGGTGGTTCAATAATTTGTAACTGCCTTCACAGAGGTTAAGAACAGTTACTAATACATAAAGCCAAGTACAGTTTAACAGGTGATTGCAAAATGCACAATTGCCTACCATATATGCCTGCACACCATACTTATAGAGTCAGTAGTATCTGCACACATGGGGGGGGAGGCGGGGGAGAAGAGGACATCGGTGGGGGCGAGAAGCTCTCCGCAGGAGCTAGAATAAGGCGGCAGTAGGTTGCCAGAATTCTAGTACAAATAGATTTCTCACTTTATTTTAACAAAAATAATTAAAATAAAGTCCTGTTCAAACTCAGCCTTGAGGGACACACATCTTTTGTTTAATTTCCTCTTCGGTGGTGGAAACTTCCTATTCCTACGGCAGAATTAATCATTCCATTGTACAGCAAAGATAGTCTTTTCACAAATCGGTGCTCATCGTATTGACGCCGGGTGGATGAATGGTAGAATAATTCTCCTAAGCGGCATTCAAACTCGTACGCTTCCCAGTCACTCGCGTGTGTTACCTGTTGCGTTGCTTCGTGCTGTGCGCACACGTGCGTCATCTCGAAAGAACGGAAGTGGGGTTTTTTATTTTGCGCTTGGGCCTGGCCTACACCATTTTGTCTCTTTAAGTACGAACATTTATTAACAGAAACAATAAAGAGCTTATGTTCTTGGTTCTTTCGGTAAAGTCACGTAGAAGGGAAACAAAAAATATATATTTTATTATTTTTATATTATTTTATTGTTTCCCTTCTACGTGACTTTATCGAAAAACCAAGAATATGAATCCCTGCAGTCACGAAAGCTTTAAATCAAAATTTTAATAAAAAAAAATAAAGAGCTTTAAAAACAAGAAATACCGTTACATGGATAAATGACCACTCCAATTGCATTATGAATGGAATGAAAGTCTTGCCAAAACATTTGTGATACTTGTTTTTCAACCCGTATATTTAACACACTGAAAAAACCAGTCACTGCAGTGTTTTGATAACGATTCTCGTTTCTACTTGCAGAATTTATGGCCTCAAAATGTTTTGCAACATTTCCCTTTTTTAAGGCCTCTGCGAAAGTTACTGGTACGTATGCAGTAAGCATGCACATAGGTCGTTGTATCTTTCTTTATAAAGGTGCGCTATTTTAATGCCTTTAAGCATTGGAAATCGTAATAATATACTTGTACATTTTTTCGATTTATGAAAAATGTAAGTTCCATTTATTGAAAATGTAAGTTGCTCTTTGAACCTGGCAACCTGAGTTCAATTTATGGTAAACGCCAGTGACGAGTGATATCAGAACCAGTTTGCTTCACACCCCCATGACCAGCATGGTATAGGGATGATTTAACGAAGCAGTGGATTGACAAATGTCTATAAATTATTATTATTAGAATTGTGTTTTTCTTTATTTTAAAATATAACTCTGACTGTTGCTGAAGATGGTTTAATAATTAAATATTCCATATTGCTCGCCCTTTTAAGGAACAATTAATATATATTGTGTACATCCTGGTTATGGTCTTTGAAGCAATGCACTGCCACTGTAATTATTCAGAAACAAGCGAGATGGCCGACACAGAAGAACAAATGGTATCTGTGAATAAGTGTACACAGACAGATTTTCCGGACGTTCTACCACAGAGGTGATTGGAATAACAGGAGACACTGCATGACACTTGCGATGCATCATATTTATTGCCATGCACACTGATTGCTACTGGAGCTCATGACCGACAATCACTTTCCTTACATCCTTTGGTAACTCATAAGATGCAATAATTATTGTGAACGAAGGAAACTGTTTGACAAGAAATATGTGTCCGGCTCTAAGACTGCTAGACAAAGTAGTTTGCCTCATCTATAATGACGCAACCAATGATCCACTTGTGTTCATAATTTTTTGCAGACCTTTGTTAATCCACTGCTCGATGAATGCCTACCCACGTACATATTGCTGTTTCAGGTTGTTTGACCATACAGTACTTCACTACACTGCCCTGTGCGTGTTGATGAGGTCAGGAATCAAACTGAGGTCACCCGGGTTCAAGGCACAATGTACTAACTATTGCACCACTGCTCCATCCGATTACAATTTGCAGGGTGTTTTATATTTTTATTTCAACAACGTTCCACTCTCAGATCTCCATTGCTGATGGTGGTTATGTTCAAATGAGGTCTAGATGCTATGTCGGCAAATGTTCATGAAAATATATATTATACAGAACATAGTCACACTGATCTAAGGGTATAATGTGTTGGTGAGAGGTGGCTGCGTGGCCCAGAAGTTTGAGCAATTTCTGTTCTTGGGTATGGCAATATGTTCAAGAGCTAAATGCCAATGTCGAGACCACAGTGGTTTACTATATGGTCTATAGTTTGGATTGCATGGCCACAATCAAACTGTGGCTTGTCTTTGATTTTAAATTCATGGAGGAGATGTACGCATCGCCCTGTTGATGTTTTGATGCATTTGACGGTCACACCAGTGTCTTCAAGGAATGTCAAACGACTGGAGGTGCGATATTTTAGTCTCGAATGAGCCGTTTATTCTGGAGGTCTGCATTGTTCCACTCAATTCGCCATCATTCTTTTGGATCTGGGTGACATTCTAGGATGTTGACCGCAGCACGATCCCAGAAGGGGGATCGGGACTTGAGTCGACGACGAGGAACATTGTTCAGGTCTTGGTTGATGATGGGTGCATGCTTGTCGTTGGCAATAAATGTGTGAACTGCCTTGCAGTTTGCATGCCTCTGCGAAAATTTGATGGAAGAATGTTCACGAGAACAGAGAGCCAGGGCATTGGTATCGGTTGCAGTGTTCCGGTAATGATGTGCATTGGGTTATTTAATTGTGCATCTGGCAATTTTGCGTACTGGCTCCGAGACCTGGCTGGAGGGAAGTGTGTTGCTCTCCAGCCAGAGGCACCCCAGGTCATTCCTTCAAGTTTCTCTCGCAAGGAAATTCTTGATTTGGTCTTACAATAGAAATGTTTCATGTGGCGCTTAAAGGTCAGGCCTCTATTCATGATCACCCCTAGATATCTTGGTGAAGGGTCATTGTGCACTGACTGGGTTGTCATAGAAGGAAACTGCTTGCGTTCGTTTTGTAAGTATTTACTCTGAGTCTCCAGTGACTGAAATATTCCTTCAACAAAATTAGATGAGTGAGCAATGAACCGGCACCACTGAGATGCTGGGTTGGAATTTGGGTCTCAGACACCCGTGATTATACCAGATTCCGAAGTGTAAGCACGTTTCAGCTCTCAGCTGTCAACAATGACTGCTAAAAAAAATCGTCTTTCATTAGATTATTCACTTAATTTGGATTATTTTTACTCTCAGGCTTAAACCATTCTGTTTGGTGTGTGATTGAGTAGCCACACTAATGTGTTTCTCATATGGTTTAAGATCTATTGCAGACTTAAGTCGTTCTGTTAAGTCATCTTTGAGGTCCCTTTTCTGACAAAGGGTGATGCACAACTATATGTAGAGTTTCGGATAGCATTTTTTCATCACATGCAATAATAAGCATACTTTAATTGGAGAGAAAAGCAAAAACATGTCATAAAATAAATTGTTGGTGATTTTTTGGAGGAAACAATGGTGATTTACACCTTCACATGTCCATACGTAATTTCCTTTCTGCCTTAGACTGCCTTCCGGTGTTATTGTTATTGACTGGTGGTGACCTAGATAGGGGTGTAACGTGTGAGTGCCCACAAGTCTTCCCAGCCATGTGGCCTTCGTGAAAAAGTTTGGATAACCACCCCCCAAACCACCACTGCCTGTTATGACGTGGAAGCACTTGCATGTAGGGAAACACTTAATGGCTGAAATATTCATGAAATTACAATTTAATGGAGCAAAAATGTTAAGATTTCATCCCATGTGGCTACATTGTTTATGTATCTGACTTTAAAATAATTTGAATTTGTTGACAATTAAGTGACAGGATACTAAATTGTGTAACCGAACGTAGTACATACATACCTCTTGTAGCAAATTCTATTTAATCAAATATACATCCTTTGATATAGAACACGATGTGTGTCTCTTTCAAGAATTCACGGTTTGATTAAAATTGTAAAATATCATTTTATTCTTCGCCCTTCGAAATCCCCACCCACCCGCACACCGTCCAGGCACACAGGGTTTTGCACCATTACTAGGAATTGATTATTATTTATTAAAATTTATTATTATTTGGTTACATGTCCGTCGTCCCTTTTGTGTCTCATTAATGTTTTAATCTCATTTGTAGTTTTGTTTATACAGTTCGCCTAAATGTAACATGAGCATCCCATTTGCATTATTTTTTATAAACTGTAAACAATTGATCCTTGCACAATAGGAATCGATTTTTTATTGATCATTACAAGCATACGTCTTACCACTCTGACAACCCACACATCACTCCACTAACGAGGCATTTCAATTTGAGTGTTATGTTCATGACACATGCTTTGTGTGTGGGAATCTCCTATTTATGATGTATGCAAATGACATGCTAGTTATATTGATTACATGCCAATGTTATATTTAGGTTAAAGAAGTAAACAAACTTTACTCGGGAAACTAAAGAAACATAATACAAAGGAGACGAAACATAACATGTTTTTAAGTTAAATTGTTCCCCCTGCTTTGGATAATTCACGAGATTGTTGGGGGAGGTGAAATGTGACCCTTCACACACCGTAGGTTACCTGACGAAGCTCACAATCGTGAACAATTTTAACAATATGCAACCAACACATGCACAAATACGCAACGTTAAATTGTTTATTGTTATAATGATTACAACATTTTCCCTTTGGCACACCACGGGGAGGGGAGTAAAATCAAGCATGTAATACATACTCTTTGGTTCTTTCGGTAAAGTCACGTAGGTATAAAATAAAATAAATCACGACGTTTCGGGCGCAACACAAGCGTCCATCAGGTGGGAAAGCATGGTCTGCTGCTGAGGCAGACTGTTTTAAAAGGTTTGAAATGGGTGTAGCCCAAGGGTCATAAAGAAGTGGCCGGGGCTAGTGATGTTAATGTGAGAAGTTAGCATGTTAATGTAAGATAGGAGAGCGGCCTTCTCGACGAGGGCACGGAAGTGGCTATGTTAATGTGAGGGATTAGCATGTTAATTGTGTTGCGCCCGAAACATCGTGATTTATTTTATTTTATACCTACGTATCTACCAAAAGAACCAAAGAGTATGGATTCCTGCAGTCACGAAAGCTTCAAATGAAATATATATTTGTGTAAAAAGGGACAGAAAAGTGAACGGAGAGGGGAAAGAATGGGAAATGAGAGGAAAATGATGGAAAGGGAACGGAGGAATGGGACCAAAGCATCACTAAAGATGAGGATAGGGAGAAAGAGGCTACATAAGGGCCCCGTGTGTGTATATATATACGGTGTTAGAAATAACTACGGGGGATAGGTGTGTATGGGCATTGCAGAGATTGTGAAGAGAAGTCACCTGGGGCAGACTGACCAATAGTCGTCTGTGAGTAAAAATGAGCTTCATAGCTCGTCGGATTCCTCCAGTCTCAGATAAAGATTCTGATTCTGAACTTACGCAGAAGTAAGGTGCATGATGGAGCAGCGTCTGTTTTCACAGGGGGCGGCGAGGAAAGGGAGAGGGTTCGGAGTGGCCATGCAGGAGTCACGTGATTCACGGGAGGGTTTGAGCGATGAGCATCGCCATTCTATAATAGCAGATAAGGCGGTTTAAGAGTGTTTTTTTTTAATTATATTTGTTTTCATCCGTGGATAAATGTCATGAAAGCAGATTTAATGAAGTTAGCAAGAAAAAGAAGAGGAAGAAAAAAAGGAAAAACAAGGCAGGAAGATCCTGCTCTGATGGAAATCAAGCGGCTGGAGGTGATCATTTACCTGCATCACAGAAGACCGGCGATGCACAGGTAATTGAGCGTCTCATTTTTTAAAGTCAATTTCTGCTGACATTTAATTAATTTAGCAGTCATACTTTCTTGGCACTCGAGCACAGGCCATCATCGTCATCATCAGCCATGATCGTCCCACTGCTTGCACGAAGAAGGCCTTCCAAAGCCGTCACCATCCCTCGTGGTCCCATGATTCCACCTGTTACCTGTGCACGGACCAACGTCATCGCTACGTCTCCTCGGTGGATGTCCAAGCACACGTCGTTACCTACGATTTGAAAGGAGTACCTAACCCGGTGGCTTAAGGCTTGTCATGTGAACCTAAATTATTTTAAGGAAAAAAGAATTAAAATATGTGAGTAGTAATACATTTGCATAGTCATCATGCATTTTGTGTCCAGGCTGTAGTTGATCATTTGTTATATATTTTCGATTTTTTGCTCTGATTTATAATGTTTTCATTATTGTACATTATTTTATCTTGTTTGCTGTTGCTGTTTTGGTGACCCAGGTTACTCTTGCAAATGAGACAACCCTGGCCTCTTGAGTTTTGACTTTGATAAATTTGTGCTCCCAGATTTCACCAACCCACGCTGAACAGCACGGTTAAGTATAGTCAGATAACCCCTCATGACCTGCACGGCTTGGGTCGGCCTTCATCCAGCAGTGGATTGACAAAAAAGGGCGCTACTACAACCAATACGATTCCTAGTTTTATTTTGTTTTGAGTTAAATCGCGTAAATATAAATGTGTCGGTCACACGCCATCACCTGACACAACCAATTAGTAAGGTTTATCCCTTGGCCAAAACATGCCAATTAGCTATTATTGCAGCACTGTGATGGCGAGTAAACCCACAAAATGTTTCAATTGAGTAAAACCAGCTTCATCAGGCGATTTGCCAGAATTGTTGAAGAAGTCTTCCTGCTTCTGGGCTTAAATAGAGCAAGATGACGTCATCACTGTGAGCCTATCAGGTGCAAAGATCACAAGGGGGGTTTATTGGAGTCTTATAAATTACCTTGAATGATGTTAAGGCTCGCAGTGATGACCTAATCTTGCTCTGTTTAAGACCAGAAGCAGAAATACTTCTTCACAATTCTGGCAAATCACCTGGTGAAGCTGGTTGTAATTACCAGCAAAACGTACTCAATTGTAAATGTTGTAGGTTTACTCGCCATCACATCGGTAGTGCTGCACTAGTAACTAATTGGCACATTTTGTTCACATCACAAACCTTACTAATTCGCTGTGTCGGGTGGTGGTGGTGGGTTAACGACACACATTTACGCAATCGAACCCAAACGCTTTTATTATGAATAATATTGGTCACAAAAGCCACGTGTTAGTTTTTTTGTGGTTGGATCTCATGGGCAAGAGAGCTCCACATACCTTTTATATGCTACAGGTAATAGCGTAGCTTTTGTAGTAGGTTTGTACATGTTGTCAAAGCAGTCAATTCATAATTTGTTGTGCTGTTTGACACAGGCTTCGAGATCCAATGGAACCACACACGACGCAGTTGTTGGAGCCTCCGGGCCATTAGGCAATGGCCGAGGAGATGGCGATGACCCCAAGCGACCTTTCGTCCCTAAACTTAAGCAGGCGTGTGAGGCTTCTGGTGATGACGATATTGGAAAATCTCCGGAAAACTCCAAAGGCAGAGGCAGATGCCCATCTCCGCCAAGCAATCGAAGCAGCCAACGTCCTAACTTTGGCAGTAGATCTCAGGATGGAGATGATAACATTCCTATTGGGATCCCAGAGAAAGACGTACCCGTTGCATCTCATACCCCCTGGGATCATCGGAGTTTTTCACTCGCCAATGCAGAGTTATCCCAACAGCACCGTAGCAACGATACGGTCAGTGCATCTTTTATTTTATGCGCAATTAATCGATGTGTATATAATTACATGAGCAATACGTTATTTAAATGTTTCAGTCCATCCAGATGAATATCATTGAGCAACGGTTGAGCAGGAAAACTGTGTATTAGTTTGACCATCTGATCTTCATCTGGTTTCATGAGATGGGGCCAGACTGATGCCCAGAATAATCAGATCCAGAAGGTAAAAACCAGCCTTGAGATTACTTGTTTAAAAAGGTTACTGGATAATAAGCAGGCACATAGGCAGATGGACTAAAAATATAAATATTTAAGTGGAGAGACGGACGTCTTATTTTACAACATTCAATGCTCCATAAAAAAACGTAATTTCTATTCTAAATTAGTGTAATGACAGTAGTCAACCTACGGTGTGAGTGGACTAGTGGCCAAGGGAGATAATGACAGGGGAGTCAGCTGGGAGAGCGAGTGGTCTAGAACCAGCGAGAAGGTTCAGGAATGGGGGCGTCGCCTCGGACCGTATATAAGGGAGATGCGTAAAAGACTCGGGGCTATTGCAAGTGGGGGCCTCCGCCCCTCAGAGTGTGAGCACGTGGCTCCTCAATAAAGAAACCATCTCAAGACAAGTGCATCGAAGACGTCTTTACATTAGCAACAAATATTTATCATTACTGTACTGTGTGTAAATATTGCATCATTACTGTTAATGCCTGACCATTATTGCTTCACATCTTTTCAACACCCAGGCACCTCTAGAAACCTGTGGAGCAGATACTGGAAAGCGACTGGAATCCCTCGACGAACCTCCAACAGATGCACCACCAAGTGACAGCACTCCCTGCTTAAATTTCCAGGGGCAAGGTGCAAAACCGAAGCATGAGAATGCCTCACAAGCGAAAGCTAAAGGCTGTTCTGGCACCTGAGCAGTCCGATTGAAAACTAACCTAATCGTTGGCGTGATCGACGGGAATGCGCGACACGTGAGGAAGCTGGGACGCCAAATCGCCGATCGCAAGTTTCAAGATAACGACAATGCTTACTGTGGTGTTCTCAATCAGGTTTGGAGCCGTTATAATTAAAACAAATTTTTTTATCCATATATATGTATACTAGCTTTACTACCCAGCTTTGCCCGGGACTTGGATTCACCACGCCCGTCCGCCTTTGTCTCCCCAGTGGCAATGTTCACACACCACACCAGTTACTCGTTCGAGGCTGAGTCGACCTAGGGGAGGCCCAGGACCAAACTCGAGTCGCCGGGTTCATAGCGCAGTGCGCTAACCACTAAACTACCGCTCCCCCTCACACATAATGTACAGTCTTGAAAGTACCCACATGGCAAATTTCAAGTTTCTTGCATGTCGGGAAGTACGCTAAACATTTCGAACAGACACACATATTTACAAATTTCCGTTTTATAAAAAATATATGAAGGTTACATGCTTTTATCAAACGGGGGAAGAGTTTTGGAAGAATGCACCTGTCTAAAAAGTTTTTTTTCATAATTTCAAATCCTAATTCACATTTGACTTCAAAGTTCCTCTGGAGTTGGAGAGATGGGTCCCTGCCATAGGAATGTGGACTTTCCACCACTGGCTCAGGGCTCCTGACAGGAGAGTACTGTCCCATTGAGGAAATATTGTGACAAAAAAGTGAGAAAAAATGTTGACACTAAAAAGTGTCTTCGTGTTCAAATGACCATTGGGCCGTACTCTTATCAGTCATCCTGAGGCAATTGTAAAAATACTCTTTGGTTCTTTCGGTAAAGGTATAAAATAAATTAAATCACGATGTTTCGATTGCAACACAAGCAATCATCAGGTGTTCATGAAGCCATCTAGATATATAAACATGGACGTAACTTAAACCGAGAAGATGGCTACAAATTGAGCAATCATTGGAAGGATGTTATTAACCAGGTAAAACCCTAACTGCTTTGTATTGGTTGTCGTCTATCATATCCACCTGGTACTACTACACCACGCAGCGCTCGCCCTCCCCCTACTCCACACCCCCTACCCCTCCCTCTCCCCCCTTGCTCCTCCCCCTTCCTGGCCTGTATAACCTCTTACCACGGCAACTTTCTCTCTCACCTCAGCAAAAAACGTATTGCTGTGGTTTTCCCACCTGATGATGATTGCTTGTGTTGCAATCGAAACGTCGTGATTTAATTTAATTTATTTTATACCTACGTGACTTTACCGACATAAACCAAAGAGCATGGATCCCTGCAGTCACGAAAACTTCAAATCTAAATTGTAACAAGTATAACCCGTAAAAACAAAGTTTTTCACTATAAATCCTTTATATGCGTGGCGGCTAGAGTCCTCTCGTCCTCTGGCTTGAGATGGCTGCCACCTATGGGTCAGATGATTGCATGGCACCATTAAGCAATTGGTAATTAAATATAATATTTTTGTCCTAAAAAGTGTAAAATTTAGGAAAAAAATTTTCACGAAAATTAATTGTCACGCACAACGAGTCTGTGTGGAAAATGTCAGCTCGATTGGATCACGGGAAGTGGGTTATAAAACGACCGAAAGATTTGCACGGTCGTAAGCAAGCAAGCGCGCAAGTGAACTTAATATAAAGGATTTTAAAATGGCATGTTCTTATTGTGATAACATATCACTCTATAGCAATACAATGTTGGCCTTGCTAAGCAGTGGTTCTTATGTAATTGACCCTGGAGGGGATGATAAAATGCTTAATTGATCTCCAGCCGAGATATGAACTCTCATCTTTCCACCTGTGGGTGTATCGCACTGCATCTCCCACCCCCCCCCGGCCCGCTTTGCTGGACATGCCTGTGTTAATGGCACGAATGTTGTCTTCTTAGTGGCTCAAAGCTAAAGATGGAAATTACCGTGAAGGAAAGGAATGGCATAGAGGTAACCTGCTGGGAAGAGGAAAATTTGGGACCGTCCACGTGGGAGAAGATGCTGAAACCAGAAACGCATTTGCTGTGAAAGAGGTATTTGCAGCACAGTCGTACACCCGTGTGTGCATATTGACACTGGTTATGTATATATAAAATGAACAGTGCTCATACACATGGGATGCCTCGTTAAACTATTATTGTCCTTAAAACAAACTCGTGCAATTCCCTAATTAATGCATAAGGATGGTGTGTGTGATGGAGCGGTGTTATGGTGACTAGCAGACTAGAAAACTGAATAAAATTCCTGGCCATGGGTAACATTTGTGGCACTGGTATCTCCCCTAGGTTGGCTCTGAGCACCTAATGTGCACGTTTATATATTTGCCCTGGAAAAAATTAGGGTGACCAATGTGATGCACTCCCTTGTGTACCACACTAGTCTTAATGGACCTGTGTTTTATTCCAGGCCAGGGGTAACGCAGGTAGCGAGTGATTTCTCATACATTCCTGGGTCCCCTCCTTTACTCACATGCAATGACCAGCTTGGTTAATGACCCTTTTTTTTACCAGTATCAACATATGGTGTTTGAACATCTAAACACCTGTTTTATTGCCAGAAAGGGTAAAACCTATTCTAATTTCCCATTTTTTCGATGCTCACCCCGAGCTATAAATGCTCTGATAGTGGCATTGTCTTTGTGCTGTTCGCCTTTTGGCGTTCTCTGGTCTAACACTGGTTGAGACTAGGCCCTAAAGAAAGCTGTCTCTGGTGTAGGCCAATTAGTTTCAAACACAATGCATATATTATCAGAGCATGTTTGTTTGCATGTTCACCACAAGTACGCGTGGTTAATGCAGACTTGATTTTTTGCAAAAGGTTTCTATTTGGGTGTTTGAACATCTTAACACCTGTTTTATTGCAAGAAAGGGTAAAACATATTCTTATTTTTTCACAGCTTGGTTAAGTATGGTCAGCCCACGTGCGGAGGCGTTCCTCTAGCATTGGATTGAAAAATGGATGTTATTGTTAACAATTTTAATTATGTGGACTATTAACAAAACCCGAGTAAATGCAAATTCCCCAAACTCCACGTGAGATAGAAACTTTAATACCCTGTCATGGCTTTGTTGGCTGCCACTGTAACCTTACTCAGTGGTCACGCAAAATAAAAAACCTCCGATGAACGATGTGGGTGCGGTAAAGCCGTCATTCAGCAAGGGCTGCATTTTATTTAGATATTCATTATTACATACTCCACAACTGATTTGCGAACATTCAAAGGGAAAGTAGTTCTCAGGGCATGATGCAATATTTTCACTTTTTCCTTTCCACGTGTTGGTTACGTTTTACTGATCGAGCGGTTTCTGTTACTGTGCTTTTCAGATGCATCTGAATGACTTCCGGAAGGATGAACTCGAGATCTGGGTTGGCTTGAACCACCAATCCATTGTGCCACTCCTGGGGGTTGTCATAGAAAGGACCAAAGTGTTCATGTTCATGAAATACATTGAAGGTATGCATTGTGTGCAGATACAATTACAATGACACACGTGACTATTTTCAGTTACTTAGATTTTACAAGTGGCGAGTGATGTTTAAACCAGGCTTGCCCCCTCCTCCCCCATCACCAATCTGCACTATCTTCTTGGTTCTTTCGGTAAAGTCACGTAGAAGGGAAATAATAAAATAAAAATAATTATAAAAAAAAGACTGTCTTTCCGACAGACCTGTTCTTCACCTGAGGATGGCTGCTTGCGTTGTGGCCGAAACGTCATGAGAATTGTATTTTATTATGTTTTATTTTTAATATTTTATTATTTCCCTTCTACGTGACTTCACCGAAAGAACCAAGAAGATGAATCCCTGCAGTCACGAAAGCTTTAAATCGAAATTCAATCTGCACTAGTTGGCACAGTGAGGTATGGGTCAAATATTCCCCGTTACCCGACACCTCATGGGGAAGCCTTCATCCAGCAGTGGATGTACATAGGGTTGTAAATTATCAATAGGCTGACATGTCAGGCCATTTTCTTTCACTCTTCTGCTCTGAACAAGGGTCTTTGCCCAAAACGTCCACCTGTTATAAAAAATGTGGTCCACAAAATGTGGCTTTGAAAATCAGAAAAATTGTCAATAACTATATTTATTTCATGAAAATCTCCTTTGTGTTCCTCAATATATTTTAAAATATGCAATGGATACAACGGTCGCGTTTCAGCATTGGGTTAATGTTATTCTGCGTTCGAAACAATTTCCATACATTTACCGTAAACGGGAGTTCCGCTCGTTATATTTCTTCCGTCTGCACCCCTGATGTACAGGTGGCACGCTTGCTGGGCTGATCAACAAGGGTTCACTCGATGAGCAAATGGCCCTTCACTACCTGGAGAAGATACTGATTGCCCTGGAATACATGCACACTAAGCGCTGCATTCATCGAGACATAAAAGGCAGGTCTTACTCATCCATTCTCTCATCACAAAGATCACATTGTACCTCGAACACAAGATTTATCTAATTGGCTGTGTTGTCTCTGGTTCTTAAAAACAAAATTGAGACTGCGTTGGCATTGTTGCAGCAGCACTAATTATAGGCTGATTTCAGTAATGGCTCTTCTTTCTTACTCCACGATAGAGCCATTGACATCATGTAATTGCATATTTTTTTCTGTTGTTTTGCATTGTTCTTGTTTTGGTATTTGTTGTTTTCTTTTTACGTTACTCCTGTAGTGAGTCACTTCTGAGACACTATTTTAGGAGGCAGCAACGTTTACTTATCCTACACTATATATCTTACACACTGTTCACACACGAGATAACTATTTACAGGTCAGAGCAGCCAACATGCTGTCTGACCCACGATGCCTTAGATGAAGACGAAGACGTAGCACCTCGGGTTCCACTCCACCTGTAGACAGCCCAGATTCAGACTCGGGGCTTCCCTTTTATGCCCCTTAGCGTGGCCTGGCTCCGCCCTCGGCCACGCCCCCTTCAGGAACCTTCCAGGAGGTTCTGGGCCATGCTCCCCTTGTCCCCTCGGTCACCTTTGCCCTACATCCCTCACCCCGACCCATCACGTGCTTCGCCCCTCTCCGCCAGCAGCCAGTACCACGTCCCCTAGTGACCCACTACGTGGCATTACCTGCTGTGCTGGCGGTGTAGCTGCTATACCATGCTCTGTCGGTAGGACTCTTATGCCCCTCTCTGCCAGCAGCCAGCACCATGCACCCTAGTGACCTGCTGCGTGGCATTACATGCTGTGCTGGCTGATACACCCACATTCCCTCATTCTACTGTACCTAGTGCTACGTGCCGTAGTGATCTATTCTGTCACTACACTCGTAACAAAATCAATCTCATGGTTTTTAAGATGTATATTTGTTTATGCTATGAGCAGCATTGTCCTTTTGAAAGAAAGTTTTGGTTGCTGTCGGGGCAAAGCACATGTTGTTACGGCACATGTTAGGATTAAGCGTTGTAGTGCATACGAATTAACGACGTTCGTTTCACCTAGACGACGGAAGGTGATGCCCTATACGCAAGAATATAATCGTAGTGCATGTGTTAGCATTTGCCAACCAGTTCTGCACATTTATTGTGGCTCAAAAACAATTACTTTCCAAAAGCAGCACCCAATTCGTGTAGAGCAGCAGATTACTTTTCCTTTATTGTTTTGTCACATATGGAATGGTTTCTGAATTGTATTTCCCGAGAGTAATTCATATTTTTTTTATTCAAAACTACGTAAAATATCGAATTGTTTTTTCACAAAAATTGCCTATTTCCAGCTCTCAAGATTAATAATATTTGTTTGATTTACCATGCGAGGAACATTTTTCTGTGGCGGGACGCATGGTTTAAGTTTAACCCCTGCTTTGTAGATTAAGGTCACTTTACGGGTCTCTGTCATAAGTTTTTCTCATGTCTCTTTACTGCTGGCCATTTGCAGAATGGCCAATGCAGTGCTCTGCGAGAGTTTTCAGTGATCTAATACAGCACGGTTGTAATGGGATGTAGAATGAGAAAAATGTATTACCCTTGTTGTGTATCAGCTTTGTATTATTTGCGCGGGATACACAGCTGGAGCAGAGGGTGGGTGGGAGGGGAGGCGTGATGACGTTTGCGCAATACACTAACCCCGCTGCAGGTGATGTTATCACGCAGATGTGCACAGTAACGTCACCACCGCCGCATTCTTGCCCGCTCGCACGCGTGCCAGCCAGCCAGCAAAACTTTTGTTTCGTCTCGTATTATCGCTCTCCAATGTGTGTTCGGATACCGCCCGCCGTTTGGCATGTCCAACGTTTGACTCCACTTGCTGCGAGATCCTGAAGATGCTGCCAGTACTTGGAGCGAAACGCCGGACAACATAGCTGAACAAAGGTGCATTTACGACCACTAAAATTTATCGGAGAACTGCGCGGCGCAGCCACGAAAACGTATGCTCGGTAGTAAACTTGTCTTTGTCCCCTGCTAATTTTCAACTCTCACACTGATCGTGCAACTGCCCTCTGTGATCAATGTCCAGCCGAGAACATGCTGCTGTCACCGGACAAGCGGGAGCTGGTCCTCTGCGACATGGGCTTCGTGAAGATAGTCGGGCACGGGGACGAGCGGGTCGCCGGCACCATCACACACATGGCGCCCGAGGTGCTCACTAAGGTGTACTCGTGCAAGGTGGACGTGTGGAGCGCCTGTTGCACCTTACTTCACATGCTCACCGGCAGGCCACCCTGGGTGGCCAAGCATGGAAATAATAAAGAGGAAATAAGGAAGCAGGTAAGCGGGGTTCGGGTAAATTCCAAAATCGTATTTCACTTCACACTTCACTTTCTTATTACAGTATTCCTTAAGGGCGTCCGTACTTGTTCTCTGCAATATTGACGTTTTTGTCTTTGTTTTGTTGGGACCGTGTTTCACGCACCATGGATCTCCCTCGTAAAATAGCTGGGGAACTGGCTAAATTGGACCATCCGTGTAACAAATCAAACAGACTTAAACTTACACCTACCTCCACATGTATCAAATGAAGTGCAATTAAAGGATGCAATTGCGATTTCAGGTCGCAATTTAATACATCTTAAAATTGTATTATGTAAAATTGGGACCTTACATCTTAACATTCTAGCTTAATTATTGATTTGTATTTCAACGTTGTAATTGTATTTCATTTTAAATAGTTTCAATAATGTATACAGTAAAAACATTTATGTTTTAGCGATATTTAATTTGCCTTTGTTGATTACGCTCAGATGTGGGGTTGTTTTCTTATCTTATTTATTCCTCTAAATTGTAATTAAATATTCTGTATTTAAACCAGTAGGGCTCTGAATACTATAATTATTTTATTAATTATTTTTGCTCAAACCTCTCTTGAAAAATAAACTTTTGGGAGTCAAATGGCCGTTACTTGGTCCTGAAATAAAGGGAATCTATCTCTCTATACCCTCGAGTGATCGTTATAGTCTGTGCCTGCCTTTTATAATGGCTGTACTTTCTAACTGCTGGTTGTGTGCCTTGTGCAGCTCCTGGCAAAAAAATCTCCTCTCGATGAGATGCAGGAGAAATTCAGCCCAGAAGTTATGAATATTCTCACAAAGGGCCTGGCTCCAGATCCCTTAAATCGCAAAACTGCTGAACACTTGAAAACTCTAACTCAGAGTTGGCTCAAAAACAGTAAGTGTTGTGTTAAATGCATTGAAAGCATTCGTAGCATAATAATGTTGAAATATCAGGCTTTTTTTATAAGTCATTAAATATTTTGATAAATAAGTATAATTGAATGATTTACCCTGGAAAGCTTTGGAGAGTCTTCAAATGTCATTTTCAGGGAAGTCTTGCTTTTGATGATTAGCCAATTCCATTCTGAGTTTATTGTGATAATTGTAATATTGTACTGCAAATAGTAAATACATATACTGTACATAATTAAACAGTAAAAGAAAAGAATAGCAGCTGAGCATTGATTTATATGCCGGAAATTGTTACTCTGAAAACAAAGTTGTCGCCATGAATGCTGCTTGCACCAAAAGGTTTATGTAACTATTATTATGATAATTGTCGTTCTCTATACCTATATAAAAAATATCACCCATCTTGTGTTTCCTAGGCAGACTACCAACAAGCGGAGGTAATAACCTGCCAGAGTCCACGGCTGCTGTTGAACCATGCCCCTTGTCTGAATTGGAGGGTGGGTTCTCAGACGATGCATCTGAGCCTGAAGTTCAAGGACAGCAACTTCTTGCACCTCCACCGGGCAGGGCAGATGCGTCTCAGGAGAACGTGCAGATGGTGCAGAGACCCGCACGTGCAAAAAGAACCATGCTGAAGCCTGCGTGCACATTTAACATCCCACCGCAGGTATTTCAGCATCTTCCTGCTCGTAAACTCGAAAAGAGCTCTACATCATGAAATAAATATTGCCATAAGAGCAAATTCCCTCATTATCTTTAGCCTCAATGTTATCCCGATCTGTCCTATCGCCATCACGTCGTGAGACAAGGAATGCATTCGGAGATCACGCAAAAAATATCAATATTGCAGAGAACGAGAACGGGGTCCTTAACCCTTTCCCGTTTCGAGACAACTTCAAGTTGCATGATGGGTGTCCCGTTCACCGCTGAATCTTGTAACCCGCAAGCGGTTTAGCGTCATTTTGATTTAGAGAGGCATACTGCCGTTGTTTTTAAAGGTATTGTACTGTACCCACTGCAAATAACTGTAGCGACACGACCGCATTCTACTATAGCTGGTGCCAAACTCTGCCAAACGCCCTCCCGCGTGGCCTCGTGGGAGCCTAGGTACCGATAAAGTTATTTTATTTCAGTTTTTCTTCCGGAATCAGAAGAAAAATTCACGACATACTTGTACGTCATTGGAGCAGGAAAGGGTTAAGGAATATTAGGCACAGGAGCAAGTAAGCTCTTGGTTTAACGGGGAAGCCAAGAGGCGGGAGTGAAGGGAGGGAACTGAGGTGTAGATGAGCGGCAAGGGTATTCAAGAAACGTGGAGCAGCAGCGCAGAGAGAGACATCTATAACCAACCAACACCGTTTCTTTGCAGCTACCCGGGATACAGCAACGGAGCCGCACTTGTGTGGCCGGTGGATATCCCATCATGGAAACACAGCCACCTGGGCAGATGATCTGTGGAATGCCATATCCTGCCTGCATCATGGTTCCCCATGAGAAAGTAAGGGCCCACGTAAATTGCAGCGTCACATCCTCGTCAAACATCGTTGAACGTCCAAAGAGAGGGCCATTCCCCCTTCAAAGGACAACCGCTGACTACATCCCACAAAACGGTCGTTATGTTATTGATGCTGGAGGCACAAAAGGATCAATCAACCCCCGAATTTTACTTTTAAATGTTCGATGATTCTTTGTAGCATTGTAACCACCGCTGTATAGTTTTTGTCCCAGTTTTAATCCAATTGCACTTTCGGTGTTGTAGAATCGAAGTGTCCATTCGGACATCTTTCAGGGCAGTTGCATCACTCCAGGTTTGATAATGGCCCATGGACACAGGTTAACAACCGTTGTTGTTATTCTCAGACCTGGCTTTTTGCCACGTGAAGTGAAATACAAATGAAATGTGGTGTATTTTTACTGTCATTAGTGACCCGGCTGACACCATAAACCCACTTTGAAAACCTGGTTCAATTACAGGTGGTTGATACCTGTTTTCAGATCAGTATTCTCAGCGGGGCTCTGATGTCTTGAGTCTTAGCCACCACTGGATTATTATTTTTAATATAGCAGGTACATTTAAGCTCTAACTGAGCCCAATTGCATTTTTTTCCCACAGAGAGGTGAATATTTCACAGTGAGGCTGCATGACTTGAACCATACGTCATACGCTTATTGAGTGAAAATGTCAAGATTGTTCCCATGAATCCCATTATCGTTACTCCCCTTTCTCAGTTTATTTATTGAATATATGGACAAATCGCCGCAACTGAAGGTTGGTGGAATAGAATGATTGCCTGAACCGTTACGGCCCTAACTTAGCCATTGTTTTCCCAGACGCTGCTGCAAGACGAAGCATGCGCTCCTGTAATCAGCACAGGTGTTGAAGCGTGCCCGCGACGCTCACAAGGTAACAAGCACACTGAAGCGAAGCTCAGCCCTTGAGCTAATTCCTGTAGATCTCTCCAGGCCATGCCCATTGGCAAATATTTATATTGTAGCAAACTGATGGTAAATTACTTGTCGAAGCCGTAAACCTTATTAGGAATCATGTTTTCCTGCTCATCCTCCGATTGAATTGAAAAGGTGTTGAACAACAAAGTTTATTGAAAAGCAATGAGTTAACGGCAGTTCAGAGAGCTGAAATAAATTGTGAGTGTATGCGTTGATACAACTTTTGATAAGGGTATTGAAAGAAAAAATATGAAGAAAACTTTATGTAGCGACTCAAAAAATACAGTGGGTAGTAGTGAAAACAACATGAGTAAATCTTATACACATTTATATAACACGAGATAAAAGTGGTTGACACGAAAACTAATTTCTTTATAACTGCTGATTGTGTTTAGTTTGTTGTCCTTCCTCCGATTAGCACGGTTGGCTACGTATGGTGCGAAAGAAGTTCGAACATACGTACAACCTGTCTGTGGGATTGCTCTAGTTATATAATACACATTTCACATGTTCCACTCGCGTTTATTGTTCTGATATGAATGACGGCAGAGCAAGGATTGACGATCAACATCATCTCTGAAGATCGCACTCTTCTGTACAAAATCAACGAGCGTCAGCATGTCACCGTGGATGAAGTGTGTGATAAGCTGAGACACAAGGTGCGTGACAGTGGTTACGCTTAAGAGGGCCTGTTCTCATCCGCATTCAAACGTGTTTACGTGCGGGGATTTATCCGGTAACGGGATTACGCACAGCATTGACACACAAGCTGATTTACACGTTTTAACACTTGAAAACTAATTTCTTTAGAACTATACTCTTAGGTTGTTTTCGGTAAAGTCACGTAGGTAAAAAAATGTAATTAATAAAAGTAAAATAAAACAAATTAAAAAATTCACGACGTTTCGGAAGCAACACAAGCTTCCGTCTTCAGGTGGAACCGTCACAGCCACGACAGCTGTATCAAGTAAATGAGAGATCACAAGAAATACTACCCCGTATATATAATGGTTGAGGGGGGGAAGGGCCAGGAACGGCACACTTTTTTATTAATATGGTAAGGTGAGGCTTAAGACCAAGAGTAGACTGCATAACAAAGGACTGAGCCTTTGTTATGGAGAGGTGCTTTTGCGTGTGTTTAGTATGTTGTCTTCCCGCACCTCCGATTAGCACGGTTGCCTAAGTACGGTGCAAAAGAAGTTCAACATACATTAGCATCATTAGGGCTCTTATAGTACCTAAATATCATCACACGGCAGGTCTGTGTGTGATACATAAATGAGACCATCACATCACCACGTGTAATATGCCTGTTACCATTGAATGGCCCACACACGTGCTGATTTTGTGTGTATGTTGAACTTCTTTTGCGTGTAACTATTCTCACTTGTGGTCACACATGGGAGAACAGTTGATGTATTTCCTCTCGGATACAAACGGTGTTGTGATTTCTTTTCGTTTGTAGAATTGACATTGACAAATCAATGTAATATAAGGCATTCCGTTTATTGATGTATGTGTGTGAATCTGATGATAACTTGAGAACCAAAAGTAGCACGAGGACGAGTAATTCAATGGAAATGTGTTTGTTTTGAGAGGGCGTGACCGAACCTGGAGAAAAAAATAAAATTTTTCCACGCATTGGCATTGAGTAAAGCCAATGAGATTTACTATTTTTTTACACTTGGGGCATCAATCTGCATCAAACAAATGCGGGCGTGCTAACAGGTGGTGGGAGGGGCTTTCATTCCAATTTTACCTGGAGAACCAACAGGTCTACTAGAATGAGTGTGTACATAGATGTTGTGGTGGTGGGGAGGGGAGTGGTAGTGTCGCAATTAGCGTGCTGTGCTACAAACCTGGCGACCCGTGTTCGATTCCTGCTCGCGGCCAACACCGGTGACAATTATCTGAACCGATTCTGGGCCTCCCTTAGGTCGACTCAGCCTCAATTGAGTACCTGGTGCTGTTTGTAAACATCGTCACTAGGGAGCCAAAGGCGTGGTGTTGGCCACCCACCCCCTCGTGTGCCGTGCCAGCCTTCATAAGGTGCTCGCTAACAGCACTTGCCCCAACAGTCTGTAACTCTATACGAGGGATCTTTGTCTTTGTGGTGGTGGTTATGGTGGTGGTGAGATGATACCAAAGATGCCACTGAAGCTAGTATTGAGAGTACAGGTTCCCTCGCTCCATGCGGTAGTAGTAGATATGTACGAAGAAAAAACCGCTCGAGGAGACAGCTGCCTCCTGAGTAGCGCATACAGTACACACAGTACACAAAGAAAAAGATCCCCCATATAGCCTTAACAAACTTTTTGTGCAAGTGTTGCTAGTGAGCACCTAAGAAGGCCGGCACGGCACACGAGGGGGTGGATGGGCAGTACCACGACGGTCGCCTTTGTCTCCCCAGTGGCGATGTTTACACACCGCACCAGGTACTCATTTGAGGCTGAGTCGACCTAGGAGAGTCGCCAGGACCGGTTCAGACAATCGTCGTTGGTGTTGGCTGCGAGCGTGAACCGAACTTGGGTTACTCCCCACAGTACACACACACACACACAGTATGCACACACAATGTTGTCCCACGTCCTAACACATAGCCACATCTGAGTGAATTCAAACTGCATATTTGTGAATTTTGGGTAGAAATAGGTTAGCTGCATATACAGCGCGACATCGGACAAACCGAACCCGCATAAAGCGAGAGAAACCTGTTACTGTAATGCGTTATCAACAATGTTCTTACCCGCCCCTACTGGACATCCGTGAAAAAGAGCTTCATAGCTCATCTGATTCCTCGAGTAAAAATAAATATTCTGATTCTGATTGTTGTTTGTTTCAGCTTGAAGGATTCCGACTGGTGGCCTTCAGTGGCGAACCCCTTCTTGGATCTGAGAAACTGACGGGCGACGTGGTGGATCTTCTGCGAATTCCCTTGTAGCAGAGCTGTTGGGCGGTGGTGGCACACACCTGTAATCCACCACTGTAAAGGCGAGGGTTGGTTGATTACAGAAATGGTGTTCTTCTCATCAGCATGTGGACTCTACCTGTTCCATCTTATCTAAATATGGTTGAGAAAAAGAGTGGGGTGATGAAAAGTTGTGGTGGAGTTATGGTGAAAGTTTGAAGAACAGGCGGAAGAGGTTCAGGAGGGATTGGAGTAGTGATAGTGGCTGGGGTATTGACGGGTTGGGGTAGTGCTGGTCGTAGCTGGGGGCAGGGGCGCAGTGAGTATCAGTCGGATGGGCTCGGGGAAAGATATTGGTTTTAAGGGAGCAACGGAAGCAGGTTGCTAATTCCCCTGTCATTACCCCCTGTGACCGCTAGTCGCCTGTACTGTCTTTACACATGTAAACAATCATTAATACTGGTAGGAACCCACTGGTTCCACCAGCCCACAGGGAATTATTGTGTCCGTCCGTCGTGCAAGGAGGGGCTGGGTGGGGAGGGGCTGGGGGGGGAGGGTGGGGAGGGGCTGGGGGGGGAGGGTGGGGAGGGGCTGGGTGGAGAGGGGCTGGTCACCCCGCGGTGCCCTTATAAAACTCAACGTTTAACCTACTCACGCCGGCTTGTGCCCGCCCTCATAGTCGGGCATATTTGCGGAATACACCACGCCGCCGTTGACCCTGGCCATTGACCAAGCAACCCAACGTTTCTACCAGCTCCCTCCGCAGGAATGTGTTTGGCCGAATACACCGTATTTGTCGCCGATAACACCTTCTTTGGCACCGGCTAACCACCTGGCTGCTTTTCCCGCTAGGCTATGGTTCCTCGCGCCTCTGAGTCATTCGAATCTCCACGAGTTCAAGTGTCGACAACAACCCTCGCGGTCCGTGAACCGAGTGTTGTTCTTTCCAGACTGGTGTGTTTTAAAACAATGCAATGAAGTTAGTGCCATCTGTTCTTTTGTTTATTAAGCTTCAAGGAGGGAACTTCATAGAAATGTTGAACACAATGGAGAAGTTAACATTTACATAATATTAAATACTGCAGTTGAGAGGCAGATGAGTCATTTATTTGTGTTACGGTAATGTTCATTTCATTATTTCGTCAGATTTTTTTTCGGTAATTGCTCTTCTTTGACTATAAATGTAGTGTGTTGAAAGATATCATTAGCATTAAGTTTTCACAGGGAATGAAGGAACCACCTTATCTAATGTGTTTCTACAGCCATTTTCAATGTAATGGACTTTTTCCGATTACAAGATATCCATGAGCTTCGTGCCAAAATCGTTCCCTTAAAATTGCTTGAATTGTATGGATCATGGGGGATGTTTCCTTGTTTTAGGTACCGGGTTGTTTATGAATTGATGAGATCTATTGCTTATTACTCTGCATTATTATTTGGACATTTCTCACTATTTGCAGTCTTTTGGGACTAAATACACCACAAAGTGCCTTTTCGCAGAGCAGCTGTACAAAGTTACTTTTCACTTACAACAGAAACTCACAACTGATCAGAGGTGACAGTGATATTATCGCCAGAGGGCATATTCACACAACTGGGATCCAAGGAGGTGTGAATAGAACGAGAACATTGTATTTCGCGAGACACGGTGAACAACAGTGGGTGAGCATCTGTGATTCAGGAGACGATGCGACCAGCTGTCCCATCAGAGACGGTGAACCGCGTATCTGGGATTTTCTGTGCAGCACTTTTTGGGGATGCGAGCAAAGACTCCAAAGAGAAAAACGCTTTGCTCAGGATGCACGTTTTTTTTATCAGGAATAGATTTGCAGGGTGAGGTCGTGACCACAGCTGCACAATGTTTGAAATTGGTATAATCGATGAGGAATCTATGAACAAACTATGCACTCTGCAAACGACATCTGAATAGCTCGTGACACCTAATAAGCTCAAAGCCATGGCTGTCAACTATTAAATATATCATCTCACTTAAAGCCATTCGTGTTTAGATATACAGAACTTTCAAACTGGAGGTTTACACTGAATGTGAAGTCCTCTCCAGTTCTATTGGGGTTTAAACCACCACCACTATGTTGACCACTTTTTCCACAATGATTAATACCATCAGTACCACACTGCTTACGACCACTTCCATCACTTCCACAACGATCACTGCCTCTACCATCACCATAACGATGACCACTAGCACAACGATTATTGCGACGACCATCGCTGCCACCAAACTCAAGACATGGAAACGTGTGTCATGGCAATTGAAGCATATATGCTGACGCCTTTTAAAATAACACATTTCAAGTTAACGCCAGAATTAACCTCTGCTTGTGCGCACTACTTTTATTGCATTCGTTTTATATTTTGATCGGGTTATGTTCGTTTTTACCTCTGAAAACCCAACACGTTTTTCAAAAGCAAGTTGAAGTTTGTGGCCAAGACCCTTGGTTCCCATTGGCACGAAACGTCAACCTTGCCTCTTCAATATATTTAACAAATGTGTTGGTTCTTAATGTTATTACTGTTAATGCAAAATCGTCAAATAATGTACAGTCTGTTCTCCTGTAACTTGGTAGTTACGATTCTGAAGAACAGCATGTTATGGAAAAATCGTGTTCTAATAACCATTGATTCAATTAAGGGGTTAGAAGGGTCATTGCATGATTTTTGGTAAAGTACAGACCGTGATGACACGTGAGATGTGTATGTAGGCTGAACAAAGACTGAGGCGCAAGGGTAGCATCTAAAAGCATCCAGCAGCATCCCGCCTCGTGTGATGATGCCACACCGATGCAGCCGTACACCCGCTTATTCCCTACTCGCACGACGTAGTTCTGTTCACCTAATCGCGTTACTGCCAATTCCCATCCGCGTCATAAAAATGCGTTCCCGAATACATCCATCGTGTTATATCCATTTCGCGTTATGAAAACACGCGTTATAGCAGAACGGACTGTACGGTGTATCGCTATACAATAATGATTATTTTAATGCTTTCCTTTTAATAAACGAATGAGATTTGACACACTGCATTCCTGACTACGAATTTTGTGTCCATTGCTATGAAACTCAGCTTTGAGTATGTTTCCTGCTGGGTTTTGTATTTAGCGAATGCTTTTACACGTGGCCTTTGGGGCCGTCCATAAATGACGTCTCGCACCTGGGGGGGGGCAGACATTCGTGACGAGGGGGGGGGGTGATAAATGTGACGTCACATAAAAATGCGCAACTTTAAATTTCGAAAATACGTTCTACTTAATTAAATAGACTTCTTAATAAATGTTTTCTCTTACAACATCAGAGTGCAGCGCCACATTAAAAACGCACTACAATGACAATAGTTTAAAGAGATTTAAAGCATTTTAACACGTCGGCTTTCGCGACCAATATTATTCATAATAAACGTTTTTGGGTTAGATCGGGTTATTTATAAATGTGTCGTAACCCTCCACCATCCGACATGGCCAATCAGCAAAAAAGTGTCACGTTGACAAAAGACAAAAATAACGCGATCTAACCCAAAAACGTTTATGGATTTGAAGCATGTTTTATTTGGGGGGGGGGGGAGGCAGAGCTTTGTGACGTCATATTGAGGGGGGGTCTGACTTTTTGTGACGCCGTGTGACGAGGGGGGGGGGTCAAAAATCGTCCAAAATCGCGTGACATCATTTATGGACGGCCCCTTTACACAGAGCGCCAAAATAGACAAGAAACAATGATTCAATACACACGTATGTCGACGTTATTGTGAGTGCACGTCAGCCCAAGTAGCCACAGAGCCACGTGACAGCCTCCTGCAGCACGTGCAGGGCAACCGCAACAACCAATCAGCGCCGGCCATGCCGTGGCGGACTCCACAGCAGCGGACGATGCACGCCACGGTCGGTCTCCTGCTCACCGCATTCACACAGCGGGGCTGTCGCCCTAGTATGCCCACCCCGCCCAATCAATATTCTTAAGCAACACACACACTGCCCTGGTCGCATCGGAATAGGTTCACCCGAATCTTACTGGTGAAAGCTGTGCATTTGAAAGAAGAGGTCTTGATTACTGAAACGAAATCTCTGGACGACGTTCAGTGACGTTTATCCACACATGCCTTTAACTACATTTTTCATACACAACTTCTCCAGAAACCGAGGCTCTCTGTCAAAGCCCTCGGCAAACATAGACTGAGTGGTAGGTGACTCTTCCTCTGCCCGTCCAGACTAGTCTGGAATGCCCCAAGTACTGTCGACCCCCTTCCCTTCAAATCGAGGCTCAAATCCTTTTGAATGTTTTTTTTTCTGATTGAAAGTAAGGATGCATCGGCCCTCCCTTATCTGTCTGTGGCATAGGTCACGGTGCCTAATAGAAAACTGGCCAAATTTATCAATAGGTTCACCAAAACTTTTGAATTAAGAACTCTGCAAGCCACTGCTGCGACATTGATCCACTACGCAGTCTCTCGTTCCCTTCCTCGGCTGCCACTCCTTTGTTAGTCTCGAACAATGGCCATCATCCCCTCTGCCCAAGCCTACTTTTCATAACAGTAAAAACACGTTTTACCTGCGTATATCCCCTTTCATGTCAGTGTGTTCCAAGCATGCATCGTTACACGTTTCAGTTTGTGTTTGAATCACGTGGAGCGACGCGTGGGACATCGCACCGAACAACACGCGATACACAATTCGAAAACACACCGGAGAGGCAGTAGCGTAACGAGCGTGGGAGCAGGGGATGCACTCCCTCCACCCCCGATGGACAAAGCTACGAGTTGGAGCCCCCTTGACAACCACTCTGAAATATGTTTTGAAGAACAGTGTAAAAGAACAACAAATCTATGTTAAAAGCGGTTTAAAATGTTTTTTAATGAAAACGCTTTAATGTACGTTCCACGTTTAATTTTAACTTAATTAGAGCCAGATTTGAAGTTTTCGTGACTGCAAGGATCCATACTTTTTGTTTTTTTCGGTAAAGTCACGTAGGTGATTTTTAAAAACTTTATTTCTTTTAATAATAAAAATTAAACATAATAAAATAATTCTCACGACGTTTCGGCCACAACGCAAGCAGCCGTCCTCAAGTGAAGAACAGAGTCTTCTCGACAGACCTGTCTTCTCGACAGACCTGTTCTTCACCTGAGGACGGCTGCTTGCGTTGTGGCCGAAACGTCGTGAGAATTATTTTATTATGTTTATTTTTATTATTTTATTATTTCCATTCTACGTGACTTTACCGAAAGAACCAAAGAGTATTAATTACAGCCGGTAACGTTTGGCCACCGTGCGAGACAAATCAAATAATATTGGGGGGGGGGGGACCTCACCCATTGCCACACCCCCTGAGCTGATAATGTCGATTAGAACGCCACTGCGGAGCGGTTATAGAGGAGCACGACCATCAAACCTGCGCAGTCTTGTGCGTGTGTGTGTGTCCCGCACATTGGCGTTGCGCGGGCGATGCAAGCGGTGTGCAGTTCCACGACAATGGCGGTGGGCGGCGCTCTTCCTCCATGC